ACCACAAATTGCTAGTGCTGCACTACAAACACACGGTCCCAAAAGGTTCCAGTGGTCTTCAGAAATAGTGCTGGGTGGAAATGTCAGCCCATTTCCTCTTTGGTCCAGGATTGCCATGGCTGATTTATGGAAACAGTGCACACAACTAGACAAAAGTAGAAGCAAAATATTGATGGTAATGGATTATTTTTCCCAAGTTAATTTCATGTCACAGTAACTCCTGGCTTTCAGTCTTAATATGGGTTGTGAAAATCAGGTGGCCAGGCCTGAATGGAGGGAAGGTCAGCATGATTGCAATCCTATCAGCTCAGTATGCCAATGGCTCAGGTGTCTCATAGTCTTCTTTCAGGCTTTACATGTCTCCACAACAAATATAATGGGAGGAGAAGGGAGCAGCAGCATTGGAACATCAGCTTTCATCTTCTATTGAGCAATCTGTCTGAAAGCAGTGGCCCTAAATACACCCTCACCCCTGAGTCTGATCATATTTGATGGAGGGTGAGAGGAGATGGGCTAGAAACTGTGCCCACATGCTTAGGAAAGAAACCTTCCCTTCAGTTCTGAAACTGAAGAATTTCAGATTCAATTGCATCATGCTTGCCATTTCAAAGCCATCAGTGACTGATCTCATACTTGGAAAATATCAAACCTGAGTCCAACAGTGCAACTCTGCTTGTCTAACTGCCTCTCTTCTGAGGGCTGCTGCAGCTCCATGGCAGTTCCCTCATACTCAGAAATGTCTCTAGAGAATGACCAAGCATACTTTCTTAACATTAATCATTGCAATAATTACTTATTTTAAAATGAAAATATTTTCTTTTGCTATGTTTTCTTTGGGAATGATACAATTCAGCGTTTCAAAAAGTGATTTATATCACTGCTTTGTGTTAGAGTTAGCATTAAATATTCCCTATATATTTAAGAAATGAACTGAACTATTATACCCAGCCTTTATATAAATGAATCAATTTTCAGTTATGTGCTACCTTGGGTCTAACCCGTGGAATAGTGCCAGAAACAAGAATTGAAATCAGCTTTCCTGCAAGTATGTGGGACCATCTCCCAGAACCTTGTGGTGTTGCTCTGTTCAGTGGCATGTTGGCTCAGCACCTGAATAGTCTGCTGCTTTTTGCATGATCTCTAATCCTGAAATAGATGGCAGTATTCCATGGATTGCAAAGGGACCTTAAGACACCTTGAAAAGTCTCTTGGAAAGACAAATTGCCAAGAAGTCTGAAGAGAAGTTTGAAGAAAAACACTGGAAATTAGACCTTGCGTTCTTCAAATGCTAAACAGTAGATCAAGATTCAGAGGCTGTGGAGAAAATTTAAGTTCTATACAGAGAGAGTGGTGAGGTGCTGGAACAGGCTGCCCAGAGAGGTTGTGGATGCTCTGTCCCTGGAGGTGTTCAAGGCCAGGTTGGATGGGGCCCTGGGCAGCCTGGTCTAGTATTAAATGTGGAGGTTGGTGGCCCTGCATGTGGCAGGGGGTTGGAGATTCATGATCCTTGAGATCCCTTCCAACCCTGGTCATTCTGTGATTCTATGATTCTGTGAAAGAGAGAAACTACAGAACAGGCAATATGCTGGACCTCTGTGAAAGAGGTGAGAACCTGTTCAGATGTCTTACATCTGAAGCCCACAACCCAAATCCCATTAAAACAGTGGGAGACTGGCTGTTCTGGCTGGGGTTTTTCTGTGCCACTTGGGATGAAGAATTAAGAATTAACAGAGTAGCGTATATAGCTGCACTGGTAAGAGTTAACTCACTTCAGTCATAGGAGATACAGATTCAAGTTCCTTCTGTAAACCTGGTTAAATGCACAAAGAAAGTTGCCCTGTACCTCCAGAGATGCTCAGAATGGCTGTGCTGATCTGTCTTCTGCCCTTTCCATCCAAAGAGTTGTGCCTGAGGTGTGCTGCAGATGCATCTAGCATCAGGCCCCAGCAGGGAGATGCATTCTCATGTTCCCTCACCTCTACTTACAGAATTTTGATTTCAGGGCATCCAGTGGTTGCCATAATTAGAGCTCCCACCAGCTCACTATTGGCATCAGCAATTTTAATTAAAGTGTGCTAATCAACATAATCTTTTGGAGTTGAGGGTGATCAGTTATCTCTAGGTGATAGTGCTATGTAAACAATAGAGGTGAGAACAGGAGGGAGTCCTAAATTGCTTGTTTGCACACAGGTGGAAAGCAAGCTACCTCCAGGCTTCAGATGTTGTGAAACTGAATATCATAAACATACACTTTCGAGGTCATTCCAGTAACTCTGCCCTTGTATGATTGATATTGCAGAGCTATTCTCACTCCTTTTCATAATTTGCTTGTTGGACTTAGGTCTCCAGAAGTAGGAGTCTCCTTGTCAAGTGTAGACATTTGCAGAGTAAATGTTGACATACAAATCAGTCATCCTTGGTTGCCTTAATCAACAAAAAGAAGAGATCGGTAAGGGATGATGGTATCTTCCATTAACAGTCATCTAAAATCAATCAGATATGCCATATCATACACATTTCTAGGTATTTACAGTGGAGATATTAAAAGTTATTGTCATCACAAATGTCAACAGATATTCTCAGATATCCTTTCTCTTTTTTGCAGTCTTGTGGCCTGATCTGCTCAACAAGGTCTGAAGATTCTCTCCAGATACATATCACATATCCTGGTATGGTGGAAGAAGGAAAAGCATCACCTCTTCTGCAATGCTGTGGACTTGATGACTGCCGTAATATGTAACAATAAAATTACTGGATTTAAACTTCTACAGTTTTATATCTTCCATATGCCCTGAAATTTCTACACAATAAGACCAAAGTAGGTGTAGAAGTCTCACCAGATTGGAACGTTTCACCTACATCACTGGTTGCATCTCAGGTCAGACCGAGTCTCTTAGTGTCAGACTCAGTGCCTTAGTACCAGAATTTTCAGAAGAACAGATAAAATAGAATAACTGGATAAGTATTGTTTTCCTTCTTCAATCTTAGAAAAACATATGATTCCTCTTAAAGCTCTTTGAAGTCCTCTTCCATAGTTTAGCCTTATCAAAATTCTCTACAGTTATTTAGAGATTTGTCACTTTTTAAAAAGAAATGTAGGGCAAGGCCTTTGTAGCTCTTTAATGTTTTGTGCTACTGGAAGGAGATGGATTGGTGCCCTTAAATCTAATCCAGGACCTACAGCAAACTATTAATTTGTTGGACTCCCAGTAGGACACCAGATAGAGTACTCAAAGGCATCTCAGGTGATCCTAATTACCTAGGTTTATGCAGTAAAAGTAAGACTTCAGTTGATCAAATAACTCTTTCAATAAGAAAATTCATTCAGCCACATGTGGCTATCCTACGCTTTTTTTCTGATTCTCTTCAATGGCTGAGGCATCTTTGGGACTGACTGATATGACTCAGAGCTGATGGGACTCCTACTGGACCTGTAGCTGGAGGCCAGGCAGAATGGTATGGGGTATCGTGCTGGCACCAGATGTCTATGTCTAGGAGATTGGATCGAGTTCTGCCGCATGTATTCTTTCTGAGGACAAATCTTGGAAAAGATGTGGATGATATTTGAATAAATACCTCAACATGAATAGTAATGATATTTGAATAAATACCTCAACATGAATAGTATCATTTATTCAGTAGCCTCCTTTATTCATTTTTCCTCACTTTGAGCCAGTGATTGCCTCAGTGGCTGAAGAAAAAGCAAAACAGAAGCATGGAAAAGAGCTGAGGTTATTGTGCCAGGAGGACAGGAAGCAGCCCAGCTGCCAACAGAAGCTGCATCACTGCTTCTTGGTGCCTTGTAGCAGCCCTGATCTAATGACAAAGCCTTGGATTCTCATACCCATAGTACTAGAAACCATAACATTCCTGAACCTGACCTGAGTGTGAGTTCTCCCACCGATCATATTTCCTGCCTATAGAAAGGAGGAGGTTATCTTTTGGCACAGATGCTCAAATGTCTTAGCAGGGAGAAACACGGAGGAGTAAGTAATGTGTATCTCTGGAGAAGGGTAAAATGCAAAAGAAAAAAATTCTGAGGGGTAGCTGAGATAGATATGTGAAAATGGTCGTAGGAGTCATTAAAAGTTACCCCTTTGAATAAGATAATAGAGTAAGCTACTATGGTGAGGGTGGAACGCCCCAGATTATAGTCTGTTCTCTGCTGTACCAAGTTCCCATCTAGTTATCTTTTTTAAACTTTATTATTTTATTTCAAATTCATAACCATGGCATTTTATTACAGGCATCACAGTCTTCTCTTCACCACATCTAACCAAGCTTTCTTTGAGCAAAGCATTCCCTGGCCAAGGACGAGGCTTTGAAGTGGTAAGGAGATGGAATTCCTGTGGCTGCTGGCACGTGCCCCGTATGCTACCCTATGGCAGTGATGCTCAATGGCAACACTGGTCTTGATGCTCCATCGAGAATCCTTTCTGTGGGAGTCCTTGTAACTAACCTGGTAGTTACTGACATCTCAAAGGACTGCAGGGTTTGGCTGTCAAGTGGAAACCCATTTAGGCTCATTAGGGTGACATTTAAAAGTGCCGTGATGTGCCATCTGCTGAAAATGTGAAATAAATGCAATACATCAAAGAGACAGAGCAGGAGGAAAGAGGAGTAAAACAGGAAGACAGTAAAATATCCCAGGACAGCAATGGCACCGCTCACAGTCCTGAATGAAGGAAGGCTGAAGACAGACTCCTGGAAAAACAGACAGGCACAGTAGAACAGAGTAGACAGCATTCCTTATATTCAGTCTCCCAGGCTGTTCAGCCTCAAATCAGTAAATCAGTTTCTTTACTACATTACAAAAAATCAAGAGAAACCTATTATATTTTTAACAAAAATACTTTTTTTTTTTTTTTTTTCTTTTTTTCTTTTTTTAAAAAAATTGAGTTGTAAGAAGAAGTATGAGAGAGCTCACAGCTTTAATCAAGCAGGAAAGTCAGACAAGTCACCATACTGGCCACAGACAGAAACAGTTCATAGTAACTCATGAATGAGATAAACACACCAGTAAAACAAGGATATACAGTAGGTTGTGTCACAGCCATTCACTGTACAGTTAGATGCCCTTTCCCTCTGAAACACCTGCACACTTTATAGTCATTGCGCCTTAGGGGTAAGCATCACCTTATTTTCACCTTTGCCTGCACTGTAAGAACTGCTCACCCTCAGCCTAGATTACAGTTAGTGGAAAGATACAGGCTTTTTGTGCTATGATTCAGCAGTTCAGTGTTTTAATGCCAGCTTTAAGATGAGATCATTCAATTTCATTTATTATTTCTCTCTAATGACTGTAAAGGGTGTCTGGAGTATTTGATGTAGAGAAATTCATATCTATGTTGTTGATACTTGAACTGAAGCTAACTCTTTGCTGTTTCATGCCTGTCTGTATTAGACAGGATGAATCTCATCTTCATGGTGCTTTTTTCACTTGTTCTTTGCTGCAGTTGGTGAGTGCTGCCCACCATTTGGCACCATTAGGCTCCTCTCTCAGCCTGCAATCCTTTTTGTGAGGGCCTGCAGGCCTGGGACCCAAGAGGAGAACCAGCAACTGAGGCTGGGAGAATTTAAGCTATCGACTTATGACCACTTGTAGGCATTAGAAGTGGTGATTAATCCAAATCTGATCTGACCTGCAGTCTGGACTCTGACATGGAACTGCTGCTCTGGTGGTTAAGATCTTGGATTTTCAGATCACCACAGTGTCTAGCACAGCCAAGGGGAATGGCCATCACATCAGAGTAGTGACGGATGTGCCTTCTCCCGTAGACACTGAATTTGATTCAAATGTGCCTAGTAGCCTTTCCCTGATGTCACTGGAAGGATGTATGATGAAGGCTGAGGTTGCCAGGCACTGAGAAAAAATCTACATACCAAGTCAGTTTGAAAGATTACTTCCCTGCTCCCTCGTATGACGTCCTTTGAACTCCCCAGGGAACAAACACCATCACTAAATGCTTCCGTAACCTATCAGTTTCAGTGACTACTAATAAAATACCCAGTGAATAAACATTGCAATACTCTGACGTTTTAGAGTTCTGTCTCTGTAAAGGCTTCAGAGTACTTCACAGATGTGCACTCAGACCATATTAGATAAGGTCCTGCATCCTGGAGCAATTAACGAACCACTCTGTTCAATTTCCCAGGTGACACCCCTACTTGTCCCTAACGATCAGAAAACAACTCAAGCTCTGGCGATATTATAAGAACGTTTGTTGTTTTATTCTTTTTGGTGGGTACAAAAACCACAGTTTCTTACACAGAACAAGATTATAAATAATATCTGTAACATGAGTGACCCGTAGTCTCTTTTGATTCTACACTGCAGACTGACGATGTATTCTAAACATTTTTTTCATTTTCTTTCTTGTATTAGACAGATGCAAATCTGTGGAACACGGAATGATGGAACAGAATGAAGGTAACAGCAAACAAGAGGATGACCAACAACTTTTATAAAAAAAAAAGTCTCTGAATTTTATTACAGTGATGGCATTTTATATCAATTATTGCAATGAATTGTTCCCTAAGATGGTTAGAAAAAAGAATTGTGTTGTCCTCTACCGAATTTACATCAGTTAAAAAGCAAGCATGTTTCAATATTCCTCTTTTTTCAAAGAAAATGTAAATAATTTCTTTATTTTTTTTTTTCACAGGATTTACATATTTATTATTTTCTTATCACAGTTTAGTGATTCATTTCTACAGCTGAACAGCTGAATATTCTTCCACTGTATATATTGATGTTCTGGAGACACAGGTTAGCATGTTCATTGACTTCTATAGCTATTTTTCTCTCTTTGTCAAGACAAAGACTGAAATGTTCTCTTTTCTGAGCATGTTCTTCACAGTTTAATGCGCTAAATTGGAAAGTCTTATTAGTTTTTAGTCCACTCAAGTGAAATTTGTTGCTGTTAATACACCCTTCCCAGCCCCCTCCCCCCAACAAAACTAAATTATGAATTTTCCTGATATAAAATCTGAGTTTGGGTTTCCGAGCTGAGCTCATGCACACATTGTTGCTGATGATGACTGGCGCATTTGGACGTACTTCCCTTTCTCAGCCAAATTATTAGTTCATCAATGACACTCCCATGTCGTTACAGTCTGTGCTGTGTTCCCATCAGTCACCAACACAGTTTAATTAAGGCACTCAATTATTTTTTTGGTTTTTATGGTAGGTCCGATGCAATTACAGCCAATCCTGAACTTTGTCTAATTGCAGTTCCAGAATGCACAGCCTTCGGGCAGTCGGGAGTCAATACGCGGCCATTTTCACCCACACTCCCCGTGATGGATAATCTGGCTTTGTTTCTTATGGCTTCAGAAAAGGTAAGCTATGATCAAAAATAAAGGAGAAGAGAAAAAAAAGTGTTAGAAAGGTTCTGCCCTTCAAGAAACCAGAACACAGCAAACACCAAAATATTAGATTTTAGACATCTGCATTTTTTTGTCATTTTAACATTATAGTTAATAATAATCATATGTACAAAATACATAGCATACTAGGGGAGAAAGGCTCAAAATTCCAAAGTTAAATTTTATTACAATAAATCATCATCCATTTAAAGATAAATCCCAAATTTGAACAGTAAATTAACAGAAGAAGGAATACTTTCATGTAAAGTACTTCAAACTACATTCATATATTGTGAAATGAGAGTCAAGACCTTTCATGAACCTGAAAGTATTAGCACCTTTGAATAAAGTTATGCACGAGTATTTGTAGACTGAGACCTTTGAAGAGGTATTTCAAGGTAAAAAGTAACTACTGAAAATTGCTTACAAATCGGTATAGCTCTTTCAATTATCTTTGTGATAATTCCATGGATCAAATCTAAAGAAGTTATTACTTCTATTCATAGTGCATCCATTCACAAATTTCTTTTCCTATATGTATTTTGCTGTAATCAGGGAAGGCAAATATAGTTCACTGAAAAAACACATTTTCTATGGTTTTCTACATTAAAACTAAATTTTCCACAAGAGGATTTTAGATCCTGCTATCTCTAAGTCATTACCTTCAGTTAAGTCAAACAAAATATTTTGTTTAGAGACTGATTGCCTCAGACAGAAGAAAAAACATTTATAGTTATTCCAGCTAACTTCAGCCATTCGAAAATAAGGAATCTAATCTAAGAAGGCTCTCTTGGAATGATAGAAAAAGCCAATGTGCACCTGGCACAGCAGGCACCTGAATTACACTGTATTGAAACAGATTTCAGAGACATTGTGTTAAGATAATAATTAGTGGGTAATTCTCATTTCTAGCCAACAGAAACCATACTCTGTGCAACTAACTCCTATAACTAATATGCAGGGATGCAATCTGGAATACTGATTGGAAAAAATGGGATGCAGGAGAGTGCATTCATGTAGGAGCAAAGGGATGACAAACATAAAATCATTTTATTTGCCTTGTTACTAATCTCTGCATTTAGAGCTTTGTCCCTCTGAGTCCAGTTTCTCCTTCCAAGGTAGCAATGAAATCCTAAACTGAGATAAGGGAGATTGGCTTAAAACTCCCATTCTCTGGGTACACCTCTAAGAAATGCACCCGCCTCATATTGCATTGCATGTCTAGCTCCTTTAAAGAAGGATTCTTCCAACTATAGCTGCCCTTATGGCGCAGTAGGATATGTATAAGAGCAACTTCCCAAATCAATCGCTGGAAAATTCTCAGGATAAGGCCCAGCTTACAAAGGGTGTTATGGCATTCTCCTCAAGCTGAAAACTTTGGCTTTGTTAACCATCAATTACAACATCCAAAGTAATCCTTTGAAAAGTCTCCCTGCTGCTGCAGTACTCTGTGGCAGGGATTGCTACCCAGCAGATTTTATCCTAATTCAACAGCTAGATATAAAAATCGAGAAATAGATAACGAGTGAGTGAGGACCTGGGCCCACACAGAGTTCCACTGAATACAGAAGACTTCAGCTACACCCAGCAGCAAATAAAAAACTACATTTACACAGATACAATGCAATGTGGTGGAATTCCACATGGTGCATGTCCTGTTGCAAATGTGCATCAAGGATTGTCCATCTGCAGAAATGCACAGAACGTGTTTTGGTCAATGGCAAGAAAAGGTCTTTAGCTGAGTTCTGAGCAGGGATGGGAGACCAGACCAGATCAGAATGCAGTCTGAGTTGGAAACAGGACAGCCTACTCCAGATTTGGTGAATTTCCCAGCAGATTGTTACTGAGTACAGCATCTTTCCATCCCTCTGCCACTGGGAAATCAGAGCTCATGTTTACAGGGAACATAGGTGATACACTGAGCTATGCAAAAGTTTAGGTTTTTCTAGCTTTGTGGCTTTCTGGCCATTGACAACATGCTCAGGACAGAAGAACACTGAAAAAGGGAACTAAAAAAAAAAAAAAAAAAAAAAAAAAAAAAAAATGAGAAAGAACAATTTCTCAGCAGCCTTCCATGGAACAACAGAAAAAGCTGCAGTAAGGCAACTCCCCTCTGCTCACAGCACAGAGTAACAACAATTCAGCAGCACACTGCAGGAAACAACCCAGACAGTCGACAAAGCCAGCAGGAGCAGGTCAAACTTGTACTCAGGAAGTTGCCATAAAGCAAACTAACCAGATATGTGTCTGTGTTTTGTTTCAAACTAAGCTGTGGGTAATGAGCCAGGCTAATACTGTGCTTGATTGTGCTGCTACAATTTCAGATTTATGGCCTGGCTTTAAAAATGGTTTCAGGAGAGGCTGGGATAAGAGGGAAAACTCCAGCTATTCACTAAGAATGTTAGGAAGTCACTGTTCAGTAAGTACTCAGTTAGTAGTGTTACTTTCAAACTTAGCTGTAGTTAGTTTTCATATTAATGTCATTAGTTTTGATTAAACTAGTTGTTCACTTAATCACATGACAATGTTGACTATCCTCTTCCCAGCAGGAAATAGGAATGTAGGAAGCTGATCTCAGTCTGTGTAAGTACCCAGTTGCTGGGTTTGTTTGTTGTTTAGATGTCTCTAGCACCTGGGTCACCTGGGAATGTCTTTGCACAGATACTGAAGATGAACTTTCAAATACTTTCACTATATGGAATATGAAATTGGAAGTATATAAGTCAAGATAGGCACATTACAGATTTACTGAGTGGTCTTTTACTATTTGGCCTTGTTAGCCATTCATTTTGTAATTTCATGTAAATATACACACAAATATATATATTTGTAAATTTTGTAGTTAATTTGGTCGGTTATAACCAGCACAAGGTGGGAGCGCAAGCAAAAGCAGTGGATGGAGCTGGGAGCTGGCTGGTGAGTCTCATGGCCCACAGTGAGGACTGTGGTGGTTTTGGCGGCTGGGAAGGTGCCTGTGGGACAACCCCTTTGTCGCTCATGGGTTTGACAGGAGGAAGCCAGCAGTGGTTTTCTCTGAGCAGCTGGAGAGAAGTGTCGGCTCCGCATTTCCTCTAGATATCAAGTTGACTGGCTTACGAATAAATAGAAATGGAAAAGTGCTGTTCGGGGAAAGGGAAGGGATTGCTCCCACTTCAGAGCACACTTCCTTCCCTGCCAGGGGCAGATGCAATAGTCTGTCATCCCTTCTGAACATCTTTACCCCACGTTTGTGTACTTGTCTTATGTTTCCATATTCTGCTGCCTTGCAGACTGGCGACTTTCCCTGTAGCTACTCGTTTCTTACTGGATTCAATTAGAAGAAAAAAAATAGTAATAAATGTTAATTTCCAGGTGGGTTATTTAAGCTGTTTTCTATTAGTTTAACACATAAATAATTAAAATTATTTGATGTCAGCTTAAAAATAAGCATGTGGGTTACTCATGCAGGTTAGAACTGCCAAGCATCTTTCTGTATTAGCAAGTTTTAGTTCTAATGCGATCCCTTTACACCTCAGATAAATGAACACATCTGAGGTTTTGATGTGCTAAATGCAGACATATGTCTGCAGAAATATGTGTGTGCAGCACTGTGGCTCTGTGCTGCTGTGGGCTGGCAGAGGTCTATGAGCAGTGTGGGCAGGAGAGGGCACATAGGTGGCACCACACTGCTGGTGAGTGAAACCTCACCTCAGCAGGCTGCCTCCAACAAGCAGAAACTCTTCTATGTCAGGTTCATGTGCTAAGATTTCTCTAGCAACTAGTACAGCAAACAAGATAAGGAGAAGGAAAAATTTCTGGAGTCAATAGATATCTGCTCAAAAATCCAAAGCAATTTCTATTTTTTTTTTTGAAAATTTTTAAATGCCTGGATCTTGAAATGTTTTTTAAAATGTTATCAGAAGTTACCACTTGGGCAAAGATGAATTTTCAATAAAACAAAATGCCGGCTTTAAAAAATTAGTAGTCGGGACTAGTTTTGCTTATGAAAAGGCACTTATCATTGGAACTTCTTGTCATTTGCACACATTGTTCTATGCATTGGGCTAGGGATGCTCTCAGTGATGGGCACTAAAGAATTCTATGGAAAGGATTTTTTTTTTTTTGCAGTTACTTTCTTGGGATTATTTCATGGAATCAGAGACTCATAGAATGACTTAGGTTGGAAGAGGACTTAAAGCCCATCCACTTCCAACGTAGTTGCCATGGGCAGGGTTGCCAATTGCTCAATCAAGCACTAGATCAGGCTGCCCAGGGTTCCATACAACCTGGCCTTGAACAACTCCAGGGATGGGGCATCCACTGCTTCTCTGGGCAGCCTGTGCCAGGGCCTCACTTCTTTTTAAGACCTTTGTTACAGAGAACAGGCTGTGAGCTTGGATATTGTCACAGTAGTGACCTGTACCCCTGGAGCCACGATGACACCTGCTTAGCTGGGTGATCCATCAGCAAACTGATGCTTTGCTGGCTGTGCACAAATCAGGCACAGTAGGATATCAGGTTCCATGACAATGCACATGTACCCGGGGCCATGAGTTGTGTACAACAGAGAAACACAGAAAACTGCACCACAACATGTTTGGGAAACTCCCCAGCCAGCGCATGCCAAGCCCCCCCTTACCATGAGAACCCACCTATTCCTTGCAGCGCTCCAGCTACCATGCTCAAGCACCATGCTCTGCTCACTCTGTGTCTGCTCTGTACTGTATGGTTCGGTACTGTACCGGCTGTGTCTTTAGCCTGTATGCTCCTCGGGACAGGGACCTGCTATGTGCTTGGCACACTTCACCTATAGTACAGCGCCGTGTACTCCAGCGCTATATGAATAATAAATAAAAAATAATAATCGCATCTCCAGTTGTTTCCTCTGAGTTTTTTTTCAAGGTGGCAACATGACATTTCTATTCATCTCATTTCGCTTAACTTTTGTTTGTTACTTCCTCTACAGGGATAGCTCAGTGATTTCAGGAGGATGTAGCTGTTTGTTAGAAGAGACAGAGATTGCTGTGTGCAAAAGAAGGGGACTCAAAGTAGCAATGAGATGGCAGCGTCCTGGCAGCACCTCTGTTACAAAGCAGCCAGAATAGCTTGGAAGCTATGGAAGAGTTATGTTTAGAAGCTGCGTGCCATTTTCAAAGGTCAGGGAGCTGATTTGACTATTTTACTAATGATTAGTTGGCAAGATAATCACCGCATGGATGAGATCAGATGCATTAGTAAACTATTCCTGCATGCTTTCTAAGGGGAAGTATGCAGGATGCAGCTCAGCAATTATCAGCATTTCAGGCTGAAATCACTGCATGAGCATCTGAAAACTGTGAGTCCAGAGCAAGGAAAAGGGCATATTTACTGAAGGCTGAGGACAGTAGTCTGAGTCTGTTCAGTGGTTAGTGAATTTTGTTGGTTATTATGGTGGGCAAAGCTTGACCTGAAGCAGGATATTGTGGGGGGGGGAGAAAAAAAAAGCCACACAATTAGCATAAAACATGTACTGAAGGGAGGGTGAAGGAGAAGGGTGGTGAGGAGGAGGAGAAGATAAAACAACATTTAGACTTCTTGTAACAGTGCCTTGTCTTCCATTAGGTTGACTATGGTTCAGTGACGTTACCTATCCTAAATCCTCATTGTAAGAAAGATCCAGTTAGGGCCAACAGAGAATAATAAAAGCTTACATCAATTTGTCACCAGTAGAGTGCCAACCTTTAGGAGGACAGACTGGCCAATCAAGTAATTAAACACTGGCCCTCTGGATATGTATTTTAGGACCTCAATTTCAAATAGCTGTCATCTCCCAACAGATTGAATAACATTGGGCTGTTATAAAGATAATTTTTGTGTTAAAAATTTCTTGTAATGCAGATGTCTATTAGCAACATAGAATAGTATACTGTACATCTGCAGCCAAAAAAACTGAACCACTTTGCACTGAAGTTTTCCAAAATATAAAGCTCTGTTTAGAAGCAAGCACCACTAGACAGACAGGTCACAACACTGCAGTACAAGATGCATCACCCACTCACTGTAGTAGGCCCTAAGTCCTACCCCTAAATTTTAATACTTTCGGTTCCATATACGTTGTAACCTTCTCTATAAGTTGCTAAATTCTGGGTATTCTGCGAGGAAGTTGGGTTAAAAGTCTGTGCACTCTTTGCCACCTTCATTCGCTTCGCCTCTGCCCTGGACTTGTAACAGAACTCTATCAAAGCCACCAGCATTGCCAAGCCCAAGCCTCCAACCAGAATGTAGAAGACTCCAGCAACGTTGCTGAGACTCAAGGCACTCGTCTTGTCCTGGGGAAACAGAAGCAACACAGTTAACTCCAGCATCCAGACCTCTGCAGCACAAGGTCCACATTAAAGCATTGGAAATAGAAATAAACAATGTTTAGCTGAAATTAAGTGACCATTGTTTACATGCCTCTCACAAAACTTTTCCTATCAGGATCTATAAAATGCTTATTAAGCACCTACTTTTCTTGGTCAACATAGAAGTATCATAAATTTACTGCCAGTATATCAGGATGCCATTGTTTACTTATTGCCAAGGATTATTTCCACTAGCTGGAGAATTAAACAATGATACATCCAGTCCTCATTAGGGCACATTTTAACACTGGCATCAAACTGCATTTACACAAAGCTCTTTAAAAGCTTTGGAATCCAGAAATCCATTTACATTAAACAAGATTCTGCTTGATCTTCACTATAAGACAATTTTCACTTGTGATAAGCATTGCTGTTATTTTAAAAGATCCAGCCTGACTTTCTGCTAAAAGGTAAAAATAACGAGTGAGGCTTAAGTTATCGGAACAAACACTTCTTGAAAGTGCACACTGTGCCATACACATCATCATATATTTGCCTCTTACTGTTTATTGTATTTTGTTTCTGTTTTATTCTAGATACAGATCTGGTACATGCCCATGGACTACTAAGGCTCTGCAGTTATACAATTTTATAAAAAGTGATATATTAAACTTTACACAGTAATCATAATTTAGAAAACTGTTACAACATTCTTTAGCAAATTAATAAATATGCAACATCTGATAAACAAACACCTTTTTAGACTTACTGTTGTAAATAATTATTCTACATTTCTCTATACTTCACTGCTTAGTTCACATATGTTATGATTTGAAATCCATGTGCATTTTATAGCACAGTTCTCAAGGAACTCTCTCAGGATTGACTCCCATATACTACATTGTGTGCCTTAAGATATTTATAAAGCTATATTCTTATACAGACTATATAATCTTTACCTAAAGTAAGGAGAGTACTTAACTTCCAATTATAATTTGTATGAAAAATTAACTTATTCTCAATATTTGGGTTTAATTTAAAGAGGCACTATTAGCTGTGCAGTCAGGAGACAAGCACAGTAGCAATTTCCCTGGACGTAAAGAGGTGTTGATGGGGTTCTGCTTTGTCTGGCTCTTTTTAGCTGTATAGGAGGATTCTGAATGCCTTGTACATGACTTAGTTCTTCTGGTAACAATTGTCAGTATGGTGCTTGGGAACAGGGAGCAGCTGGGGCCGGGAAGAATCTGATCCAATGGATGCAGTGCATCGAGGCTTTCTCAGCCATGCTGTGGGTGCCTTGCCATCCTCTTTGAGGTTTTTACTCTTTCCTCCAAACCACTTGCAAGAAAAAGCAAAATGTGTAGGGCATGGACAGTGAGCAGTCACGGCCCTCAGGCTGTCCTCCCAGCTCTGAGCATCACGAAGACATGTCCGGCTCCAGCACACAGAGCTGGTACTGACTGTGTGCACCAGAAAAAACACCTGCTTCTGGGCTTATCCCCAGGGGGAAATGTCAGTCTCCACTCCCCAAAGCTGCAAGGATTACTGCGGGAATGGACTAGGGTAAATTTAAGAATCAATAGAATGCAGTGAATTACTGAAAACTTTCACTCCAAAGCTCAAGTTAGGACTTTCTTGGTTCCTCAAGGAGCCAGAGACCTCCCTAATAGGATCCAGGCACAGAGATGAAAGCTTAGTGCTTCATCCTGTCTGAAAACAGGAAATCAGCCAGCTTTAAAAGAAGAAGACATGGATGAAGCCAGGCCATACAGGTCCTGGGCAGCAGAGGGGGACAAAGCATTCCCCTAGGCAGGATGGAAAAATACAACTCAATCTGCCTCCCTCAAAAAAAAACAAAAAAACACCTTATAACTCTTCAGTGGCTGCCACGAAAAGATAGGAGAGTATGAGGTGATTTAGGGTGATTTACATTGCTGAATACTTCAAAAAACAATAGTGCTTCTTTAAACTAAACCATGACCCCCATCAAGATGAGGCCAAGCCAATTCGCTCTGTGAGTGTCTACAGCTGCTTATTTTACTTCTAAGTAATTTTGTTCATTACTCCCTTTACTGCTTTGTGAACACGATAGTAGGTCCCGAACTGCAGCGACTGACCTTACTTCCAGAGTCCTTGGGTCCACATTCACCTTTATCGTACCACCATTTGTTTTTCAGCTTGTCTAAGACGCCTGCCTCACTGAGTTTCAAAACGGCAAGGTTTACAGGAGTTCTTCACGTGGAAAATAACATAAATAACATTATATATGTTATTTTATGTTATTCAAGTAAAACTACATAGAATCGCATTGCAAAGTGACAGAGCAGAGGCCACAGTGGGTGCTATGTCATGTACTGTTGGCCCAGGTTTAGAGACAGACATACGACCGGGACCTGCTCCATCGCTTTAGGTAACAGGCACATACTGCTGGGGAAGATTTGTAAATAAATGGTATGCAATTACTGTGAACCCAAAACTATTGGCTTAAACACATTAACAACATAGCCTCCAGAGACATCATACAATACAATTGCATATATGACTTAAGAAACGTACTGTATTCCTTGCTCTTGATACATTTGTGGTTTGCAAACTAGTGACATGACTTGGCCATAGCTATTTCATTTACTGCCCTCAAAATGAAGCTGGCAAGAGAAGGAGCAGCTCCTGGCATGGGCCTGCCTTCACTCTGAGTGCCTGTGCCTCTGTTGAGATCACTACTACCAGGATTGCACTTCCGTATCCTATATTCCAACTTTTTTTTCAATTTCAAGACTTTTCTTTCAATCTCACTTATTCAAAAAAAGTCCTCAAGGGGTCCCAGGTTGATTAGTAATTACTGCTCGGGGTGTCTTTCTTTCTTGAGGCATTTGCTGTGGGTGACACAATTGAATTCAACATTAAGATGAAACCTAATCTTATGCTTCAAAGCCATGAACTGCTATGATGGTGCCCTGCTTCATGTAGTTGTAGCAGTTTATTTTCTCAAAACCTATTAAATGATTAAACCTTATTTTCCATACTTTCTGCTTTGAAACACTGACAGTTTAATTCTTAACGTGATAGGCATATAGTTATCTATTTATGTGCAGGTGTGCATGCAAATACAGTATATATAAGAGAAGGAGACAGATAAACAGAAGCAGCATGTGATAGATAGGCTGATGGTGATAACAGATGACACAGAGACTGATCTTGTGTGTGCCAGCAGATTCTTGTGGTACCATTAATCTCTCATAATGCACCATAATCCGTACCCTGCTAAAATGTCAACTCATGAATTCAAAACTTAAAATAAAAATAGACATCACAGTGCAAACATTAATTGTTACAGAACAACTGAGTTGACTAAAGTAGATATTTGAAAGAGAAAAGGGGCTCGTACTTACACTCTAAACTGGTTTCACTGGAAAGCCCCAACAGTTTTTATATACATATATTTGTGTATGTATTAACATACATATATGAAACATCTACACATAAGAGCTCCTGAAACTTCATTGAAGCTATTAGCTTAAGGGATCCTGGCTTTCAACATTTTCTGGTTACTCTTTGTATGTATTTGCATACAGTGTGAGATTCACCTCACTTCAGCATTTCAACCAGAAAGTTATGCCTGTCCAAGCTTCTCTCTAGTTAGAAGAAAAAAATGGGTTGAGCTACCAGTTTTAAGGAAGGTTGAAGAATACCATCCAGATTTACTATTGAGGAGGACTGAGTTCTGCATCAAAATGACAACCTTTGACAGCTACAGGGTGAGAAAATTCCAAGGAACTCTCAAGTGATCTCTTTAAATAAAGGAAAAGCTTTAGCCACTTTCCAAATCTCATACACTTAGGTCATATGGAAAGGGTGCTGCTAGCACAGATTTCTCAATCTTTTTCAGTATTCAAACTTACATTTTGCCTTCAGGCTCCTTGGCATCAGGTTGTGCAGGCTGAAAGTGGGATGTGCAAGTCTCTGAGGGAAAGAAGCGGGCAGCAGCTTGAGATGCTGGCATGTTGCCTGGCCATATGATCCTCTGTTTGCTTTGAATACAAGTGTGAAATAATTACTATTATCTGGATAGCATTCATCTGTGACTTGCCATGCACTGGCACTGAGAGGCATTTCAGTGCTCCCAAATCCCAGCTGTGTAACGGGACTGGTTGTGGCAAGGCTTGGGGACATCTAGGTACTGTTCTTACACAGGTGATCAGAAGTTTGCAAAGCTATTGTGGACTAAACTGATTAAAATGGTGTAATAATAAGGGCTCTGTATAAACTATTAGGACCAGCAGCAAACTTGGACAAGTCAAAAAACAGATATTTCCTAGCCATTTCTTTTTCCCAGCACAAAAAGTTCAGCCATATATAACCTGATACAGGCAGGAATTTTTTCTTTGCCACTGTAATTCTTTTAATGTCAGCCTTTCTGCACTGTCTCTGCAAAGAAGCTCTCAGGCTTTCCTTTGGGAAGAGCAATCAATTTCACGCTTAAAATCACCGTCTTATCAACAATAAATAACTGAATGCAATGGTGAGCACAGATGAGGCAATTCATTCTTACTCTTCCCTGAAATACAGCCAGTCATGTCTCAGATGCCTTTTTCTTCCTTTCCACTGTTTTTGCTGAAACTCATCTGAATCCCAGAGTAAATCAGGAACACATGATGGGACAACTTCATACTCAAACCAGTAAGCGAAGCCCAGCTGAGTGGCTCCAGAGTTGAAAATGAAAATTTCAGCTTTCACCAGCATATATATCTGCTTGCAATCACAGGAAGAGATTGCCAGTGTGGTGACTTCTGTGTATTTTAGGCTGTTTTGCTTGGTTTTAAACTTTAATAGGAGATTTTCAGCAGCTGCCATGGGAGATGAATGCCCAAATCACCTTAGCTTTCAGGGCAAGTTGACTATCTAAGACATCTCTCCTTAGAAAACCTTTTCTTCAAATATGCATCATTTTGATTTGATTATGCCAGTTGTGCACTACAATGTGTTACTACAGTGCTCACTCAACTGGTTGCCCAATAGTCCCACTGAAATTAAAAGGAGCAGAAATTAAGAATATTTATGATCTACTGTACATGAGCAAGAACAATCTACTTGAATTATATACTTAGGATAAATTCAGCATTTAGAATTAAATTTCCCATCAAGTTCAGTCTTTTATACTCACTATTACAGCACTATGCACTACACACTATATCAGAAAATGATAACACTTTTTTTTTTTTTTTTTTTCTCAGTTTGTTTAGCAATTTTTGAATTGTGAATGCTGGGCTAAATTTTCAACTGAAGTAAACTGACAGAATTAATGAAAGTCAGTGTAGTTTTTACAATGCACAGCTCCTTATTATATATATATGTAGAATCCATCTGTCCAAATCCACAGAAAGATAATATTAAAAAAAAAAAAAAAAGATAACTACAAATAACATTTATATATGGAGACAACTTTGTCCCATTTAGTACAGTGCAAAAATGCTATCTGATGCAGCAGAGGAGACTGTGCTCTTCTATATGCTGAAGACAGTGGTGGCACAGCCTGACCTGAGAACAGGGACAGTGGTTTTCAACCTTCTCAACATGTCCTCAGTTGCCCCTCTTGCCATCACATTTGGATGTTCCTCCTATCCTTTCCTCCATCACTTCCATCACTTACTATTGGAAGGACTTTTAAGAGCCCAAGGCTGAATCTGGTGCCAGCAACTTCAGCAAAATCAAAGTGCCTTAAAATGACATTAATGAAGTTCTGAGCTCCTTGTGTACAGGACAATGAATGGGAAGTTATAGCATTTAAATTACAGTGCTGAGTGATTCTGAAACCAGTACAGAATTTTAGGAGACAGGAATTGTTTAAAAAAAGCAATCATGAGTATGTTTTAGGAGCTTTTCCATTACCCACTCAGGGCTGATCCATTAATTAAGTGAAAGGTCAGCCTCACCTGCTGAATGAAAAACAAGAGCTGCTGCATTCTCCCGAGGCTGCCAGCAGAGACAGGAGAGTTTCACCAGCACAGCTTCTTTCAATCCAGAGCTTTATAAAAGCTATGGAATATAATGGTGGAAACTGGATTTAGATAGCTTTCTGTGGACCAAATGGATTTGATGCTGGCATGCTGCTGAGATCAGAAGTAGTATTTTCAGAAGCACTCCAATGACTGACAGATCTCAGTCTTCCCCTCAAACATGACTTTCTTCTACTACCACACTAAGCCATGGGTGAAGGCAATGCCAGCTACCCAGCTGGCAACACAGTCTTCTGAGGGAAACTGGAAAATGTGGTTCACACTATGAACTTCTTTCTGAATTTTGGAAGATTGTTACTTGAAGGGAAATGACAAGAGAGGATACAGATGAGCTTTTAAAAGCACAGAGTAGAAGTAGGAGAAATCTTAGTTTGCAGAGTAACACAAACCTTTAGAGATCTCTTGAAACTTCCTGATTACTCAAGCTCTGTGTATTGCAATGGAGAAGGTTATTCTAGGTTTAGACACTCAGACAACCTCAGAAGTAATAGCATGGCTGACTAAGATTTAGGTGCTCTGCTGCTTTCAGCACAAGAAGAATGTTCTTACTGTTCATCATTATAATAGGAAGCTCTGTAATTTGGGCCAGAACTGCTAACAGAGCTCAGACTTTGATCTTCCTAAATTCACAAACAGAAAAGCAGCACTGCTTAGGTTCCGGACCTGCTGGCAGTTGTCAGGTTTGCAACAGAGTTAAGTGTCCTGTTATTTTGCTAACAAACAATTGATAGTATATAAAATTTAAATATTTAGAGCTCCGTTAATTCAACTGAAATGATCTTATTGATCTTAATTGATCAAATTCTACAAGACTGTCACTGCAGAAGGAAATGAATTTTGTAGATTATAAATAGCTAACCAACAGTTTTGGGAGTCAGCATAGACTTGGTTTAAAAACAAAAAGACAAGATGATTCTGCAATGCAAAATATTAAGATCAGAGTAATGCATATTCATCTCCATGTGTCCAAGGTGGCTGTAGGCATATGGTAGACAGAAATCATTGGGCTTCCTCTCAACAAATACAGTCCTTATGCACAGGTTTGGCTACTCTTTCCTCTGTGCATAGGGAAAAAAAACAAATGCTCCTGGAAGGCTGTCTGTAGTCCTGTCCTGTAGTCCTAGGATCACAGGTTGAGCTCCATCATGTTCCTTATTCCCAGCTAGCAATATCTTGCCCACTCTATTTTCTACTCCCTCATGAAGTCCCACCTGTAGCAACCATTTTCATTGACCTCTCTCCTTCACTCACAGATCCTCCTAGTTTCTCATGAACTACACTGTTTTCTTTTTACTTTTTCTTTTTTCTTTCTTCTGTTACTCGCCATCACACCAAATGTTCCCCTCTAGCATCTTGCAGACACGTCCCCTGGTCCAGCCCCGCTGCTCCCCTTTGTGCCACTTTGTGATTCAAACCACCAGTGAGTTAAAATCTTTGGTTTGCTACCTAACTTTTATCTTACATTTCAACCACAGTAGATTTGTGAGAAGTATATTTTTAAGAAAATTGAGATCTTTAAATTATAAGACTCCTTGCCTGTGACTTTAAAAAAAATTAAATGCCTCCTCCACTCCCAGTAATGCAAAAGTTCAGGGTTGGATGGAGGTTACCACAGTAGCAACATGGGAGATTCATGGTTCACATGTCAGCCTTCTTAAGAGACATTGGTGTGTGCTCCACTTGCACATAAGTGCTATTGAGTCTAATATGCCTATGCACTTTGGAACAGAAAATAGAGACCATTTTTGAAACTGTGACTGCTGGCAAGCAGAGCAGTGGGAAAAAATAGGTAGAGCAGTAGGATCAGAGGTAAAGTGAAGAGGATTAGGAGAGCAGTTCTGGGTGAGTGCAGCGCAGCCCAAGGGATGGTCCCTGAGGCCAGGACACAGCATGAAAGAGCAATGGAACTGAAGGAGGAGAGAAGATAGAAAGAAAAAATATGTGTAGGCAACTGTAAAGGAAGCTACATAAACTGTATATAACAAATCTGTCAAATTTAATAATGTGTGTTTGACTAGCTCTGTGCCTGCACCGTTACCCTGTGCAATGTTCTCTTATATATTGCTCACACACAAGCACATAAGTATTAATACATGCTGCCTGGCACTGAAGGGGCATTTTCAGTATCTTCATCCTTCTCTACCACCACATCTTCCAGTTTCACAGCCCAGAAGTAAGCTGTGATGAGGCTGTGAAGCAGTGGCACTAGCCGTGTGGAAGATTTAGAAAGGAAGGAACAATAAAATGTCATTACCTCAGCCTAAAATTCAGAAGTGGTGAAAAGCTGTGAATGCTACAGCAGAGAAGGTTGTAAATTCTGGGAAGTTTCTGCCTAATGAATTCTGTTTTGGGAACCACTATGCATTTCTGTTTGTTGATAAGATTTCATAAAAATGGCCGTACAAAGATAGATATTTCAGCTGAAATTTGCTCACCCATTCTGTCTACTCACGAGAAAATCACAATTGGTACCAGTTTAGTTTCTGTGAGTGTTGGCCCTGCACTAAATTCCTGGTAGGAGGCAGTCACACTGATTTGCACCCTTTGTCTTTAATGTCACTGAAAATTATTTTGGGAGTATAATGTAAGTGCAAAATAAGCCTTAGCTGGTGTTTGTTCCAGAGGGTTTCAAGCTGATTGTTCACAGGAGAAAGCTCTGAAAAGGCTCATCATGATCTCAAAAGGTGCAGATTTCTGAAACCTGGCAATAGATCTCACAGCAGGGAGTGTTTTAGGAGTTCCCTTTGGGATGCTTAAACAAATGCAAATATTTTTGCTTTGACAGTAATTGCATACACCTAGGTTTCAACTGCAGGTGCTGGCAGTGCCACAATAGTGTAGAAGCTATTTTGGCTCAGGTTAAACCCCAGCAGATGCACCAATTACTTCACATACTGTTTACCCGCTTTTGGTGACATTGAGGCTAACCTTGGAGTCACCTCCCCCGCTGCCACATTCTCCTTTGTCGTACCACCATTTGTTTTTCAATTTGTCCAAGAGGCCTTGTTCATTCAGTTTTAAAACTGCGAGGTTAACAGCATTTCTTGAAACGATAAAACATATTTTGTAAGAAACTGCACAGCTGTTAAGATGTTAGAAGGAATGAGGACTTAAGCTGTTCATAAGCTTGATCCACACACTAAATAAACCTCTCATTTCCATATTTCAAAGCCCTTTGCAGCATACATAATTGTAATTACCTTCAAATATGAAAAATGTATTTCCTGTCTAGAAAAGATTTTCAGAACGGCTTGAATTTTAACAAGAAAATTCTATCAACCAACCAAAATAGTTTTTGCTATAATGATGATAAAACTCTGTCTGGAATTACAAACAATTTACACAGATTTATTTGAATCTATATTAAGAAAATTTACTTAGCATAGTCCTGGGTTGATTTCTCAATCAGATGGGAAAAATTCATTCCCATGTCCTACAGAGGCCAGACCCAGCTGGCTTAGGCTAGGCCCTGTCAGTTGCTACACCTCTTAAAGATTAGACAAAGAGTAATTAATGTGATTGCACATGGCTCTCAGGAAGCTAGCTGTGGACTGGGGATGCAGAGGCAGCAGTAGGGAGGATGAGGTGCAACCAAACCCAGTTAGTAGCATTCGTGCTGGCTGCTGGCAATAGGAAATGATGGGAGAAGTGTCTGGGAGCAACGGCTTCACATTCTTGAGAAATCACACATATCCAGTGGGAGAGAAGTATTTGTTCTGGTAGCTTAACTACTGGTTTTCAGGGACAAGAAGAAGTTGAGAAACATGGAGGTTTCCTATTTGAATATATTTAATACTCTCTGTCTGAAGTTTCAGTGCCTGCTCTAAGGACATCTATGTGTTCAGCATGCAGGTTAAAGATCAGTTCTGTTGCCTTTGCGCAGTAGAGACTTAGCTGAAATGGAAGACCCTGGGTCTAGCTTTGTCCCAGGGACTTCCTGTTCCTTGGGAGATCAGCTTGACTCCTTCAACACTGTTGTTAGGGAACAAGGTGGAGATGGAGGACATCTCCCATGGAGACACTTGGAGACAGGACAGCAAGGCAGAAACTCAAGCACTAGGAAGTCAGCACTGAGGTCAGCTAGGTGCTAAGACACAAGCAGGTGTTTGGAACATCCTGGTGACTTCTCCCTGAAGGGTTTACATGCCCTGCTCTGTCACTGCATAGAACGTGATTCCTCTATTGCTAGCAGCACAGTGGCACAGGCACGAAAAGGGGCTCCATGACACAGTACCTTCTATCTTGAATTTAGCGCTCTTCCTCCAGGTGAAAGAAGCACCACTTTGGGTCTGTCCAGGTTTTGAATCCTTTCCAACATGAAGGCTAAAGAAAAGCACCATTTCTATCTGACATGAAGTTAAGGCTGTCAGGACTGCATGGAAACTCAGGCAAAAGAAGGGCATGACTGGTCCTAGAACAGGGCTACTTCTGCCCATACTTTGAGGTTTTCCTTTTGGAGTCCAGAGATCACTGTACAAACTTTGTGAGGCACCTAGATTTCGTAGAGAAGTTACAGTCCCTAAATGGCATTTTAAAATCAGTTGACAACTGATCTTGAAAGGAACTTACACATTTCCTGAGGAAGCTTTGCACTTATTTAAGAGTATGACTTCCTATCCAATAATTCATAATAAATAACATCTCCATTTCTTTCTGAAATATCCATAGTGCTCCCATGCCTATCAGACCTGCACTACTTCTCGTGCATGTCTGCCCAGGCTTGCCTATGGGTGTGCAGTGACGTGGAACAATGGCATCACATCCTTGAGACACAACACATCTCTAATAGGAGATAAGTACCTGTTCTGGTAGCTTAAATACTGCTCTTTGGGGACAAGAGAAATTGAGAAACATGGAGTTTGGGGACAAGAGAAATTGAGAAACATGGAGAAGCTATTTAATACTGCTAAGATCTGCCTGTCAAGAAATAGATGTATCTTAATGACATCTTCCTTTCATCGATTATGAGAGGACACAACACCTTCAGAGCTCTTGCAGAAAGGCTGGAGAAGAAAGATCCTCTGGTGACAGGAATCCAGTAGATTCTATGGCATCAGAAGCCAATGTGGATTGTAATTTACTCTTACTGGAGATGGCCGGTCTCTTGTCCATGAAGATCCCTTCCGGTGTTAGAGTGGAAATTTTTATCTCCCTTATTAGGAGAGTTATTCTTGGCGTACATGTATGGACTGTGGTATTTCACTGCTCATGGAGAGGAGCATTCCTTGCATCACTGACTCTGCTTTTGGGAGCAGTGTCAGCTTTAGGACATACCTCGATTGCCTGGTAACAGCTTTTCATACAGCTCCCACTGGAACCAAGACAAGTCTTCACTGTCTGATCAGGAAGTCTGGAAGCAGCTTTATGTAGAACTCACCTTACCTAATATCACTGTGGTTACATTTATAAGAGATTTTCATACAGATAAAGAAACTGTCTGTCCCTGAAAGTGCAAATGAAAACTCTAGGCTGCTGTGGGACTGGCATCAGATGGCTATTTGTGCATAAAGCTTTAAGGGGAGTTTAGCAACCAGGCTGACAAATGTGATTTTGTATTAGGGCTCTAATTATGGTTTAGCACTCCAGAGGGATAGGAGAAATAACAAAATTTGAATGAAGTTGTTCATTTGTCTCTTTTATTCTTGGAAGCCAGTTATATTTACTACAGATTTTTCCTGCTCAGCTTTTTGTTGTAGCGCCTATGCTTTTTTCCTCTTTGCCCCCTTCAGAATGATAGCAGTGTAGCCCTGACACTTAATATCCACCTTTCTAATATACTTAATGTAAATTTCACTTTTGAAAGGACTTTAGGACTTAGCCATAAATGAAAATTTTCCTAGAAACACTCTTTCTTTGAGGAGGATCAACATCACTTATTCAGAAAATGGCTTCAGTACGTAGCTTGAGCTGTCTACAGAGTCAGTAAAACTCCTGCTCCTTTCAAGGGAAAGCAGAGTAAATTAATGCTGTTGTGTCTAATTGTCATACTGGGTAGCAATAACAGAAATAGCCACCTTGAAAGTGCTATGAAGTGATCACTCCCAAAAGGATGAAAGGCATCTCAAGGAACATCACTAATGCTCCATTCCATGAGTCACATAAGCACAGTCATATTTTAAAGCAGATTGGAAGTCTTAATAGTCTATCTGAAAAAGCGTCTTCATATTATTTGCTCTAAGCTAATTTTTTTCTTTATTATTTAGTATTATTTTTTTAAGAATACTGAAGCTCATTGAATTAGACAAGGTTGTTATGCTTTCATAAAACTTACGAAAGTTTTCATTCAATCTTTATATTATCTCGAATTGCCTGAAACCTTACAAATTTTTTCAGCACTGTAAATATCTTTAGACTTCAGAGTTGTTCAAGCTTTTCAAGTTAATGTCTACTTTGGCCTTTTACATGGCTATTTAAAGATGAATAAAAAACTTCCGGGCAAATTAGCACTGACTTCTACCCAGTGCCCTGAATGTCAAAGTGAAGAAATTCAATGATGTGTGAATAAATGGCAGGAGTAACTACAATTCTCTTAAGGTAGCCAAATACTTTGTCATCTAATCAGGGACCTGTAGGAATGGACAAATGAGATTTGTATCTTATAATGATATAAGTTTCCATGTTTATTTTCAGTGTTGAAGGGGAAGAACTTGCCAACTGTTGAAATTTATCTTTCAAAACATTGAAGATTATCAAGGAAAATTTTTCCAGTGTTTTAGAGAAGTTGCAGCTGGTTGATAGTAATATTAGAATAATAAATAAATAAATAAAACCCATTCATGAGAGGGTTATTTAGTTGGGTTATTAGCCATATCCATAGACAGTTTCACAGCACAATAGAGAAATGGAAATAAAAAGGATGACGACATAAATGTGGATTTAGCTGCAATAATTGCTCTGAAATTATCGGTATTGTTTATAAATGTAACATATTATTGTCCTCATCATGTCTAGTAGGCCATGTAAAAACGGGTTAGTTTCACACCGCTTTCTCTGTTGCTTTGTTGTCCAGGTCCACTGCAATATGTGGAAACAATTTCCTTCTGGTCAGCAAAACACAGAGAACAATGCTGTATCCTGCATATAAATGCTCCACCTGAGACCCCCGTAAGCGCACTGATGACTACACTGAAAATTATGTACCTGAGACCTCAGAGCCAGGCTAGATCACTCATGATCTTCCTGGACAGTGCTTCATTCTGCCACAGAGGAAGGCATTTTAAGACTTGACTACCAGTGGCAGAAATGTTCTTTTGTCATTAAAAAATAGAGCTGAATCCTCAATTCCACACTTAGGCAAAATTGCCATTGAAGAACAATTTGTTTATCAATACAGGAATTGAAAGCTCTGCAAGACTAAGAGTTTAACAGTAGAAAGCAGGCAAGTGCTTTAACAAGTGACTCTTAAGTCTTGCTGTCATTGCACAATCCTGCATTTTCTATCAGTTAGAAGAAAATGAAGTCCTTGTATGCAAATGTCACACTGATTGAGCCCAAACTGCGGCCCTCTGTATTACAGTGATTTGTCCACTTTTACACGAATGCATGGACAATGACTTCAATGCATGGATTGCAGCTTTTGTAAGCTGCCTACAGATTTACAGTACGAAAGACTTGATGAGAATTAAATCATTCTCATTCCATTAAAATTACTTTTCACTTCCTCATAAATAAATAGTTAGAAGCTGTTTAAAATGATCATCAGTGTCACTTGTTTTGAAGAGCCTACTTGTGCCACCTGCAGATATGCTTTTCATAGCAGAAGACAAAACTGCAGAGGAAGGTGACAAAGCACCTACACAACCCTTTCCAAAATAACATCTACAAAATTGGACAGAGATAACTTGTCTGTACTCAAAAGAATGACAGCACAGTGCTTGCCCAAAGCCCTGGGAAGCTGGCAGAGGTTTGCTTAGATTTCCAATGAGTATGGGTCACAACAACAGCTAGCAAACAACCCATCTGTTGGACTTCAGTCTGTACAAAGCAGTCAAGCAGGCATTATGCACAAACACTACAGCACACAATACGTGGTACCCAGTAATT